GGTGACAAAGCCTGCGGATATAAGGTTAGCTTCCATCAAATCTACTACTCTGAGAGTCGACCAGTCAATTCTCACAGGTAAGTATTGGAAGGTCATTGGATTTCTGAAGCCTCTCTCAGATCCCATGCTAATTGAGTCACCTCTTGACCCACTGCCCCTTTATAGTATCTCATTTAAACCTCTCCAAGATATTTATTTCTTAATGCCTTATTAGTTTGACTTTTTGCCAGTATATGGAGTTTAAAGGAATGATTTGATACTAACGGCTTTCATCTCATTAAAAGCCTCTGTCTTTTAATTTTATCAAAAATTAGTTTTAACTAAACACCATTATGTTTTTACTTTTTAAAAAACATTACAAATTCTTTCGTTAGCAGAGATAATGATCTTACGGTCGAAGTGTTGTCTGTTTTGTGGAAAGTGAATTACTTATTTAGTCTTATTTTTCTAGGCAGGAAGAAAAGGCTCCAGAGCTGTGATTTTTTTGTTGTTGTTGTTGGATGAAAGCTAATCTTACATTTAACATACTTTGCAACAATCAGATATACAGTTAATAAAAGTTAACACTCCCAAAATGTGAACGTTTTACAACCTAAAGTTTGCACACTTAGATTTGATATTGTTTGGGACATTTTCCCATTTTTGTTTAATAAGGGCACAGACTAGGGTGGAGGGTTCATATTAACGGGAAGTAAGGTGGTCAGAAGATTAACTTAAACACAATGCTAATCTGAATTAAATAGAGAGTAAATACAGAATACAAAGATTATCAAGATTTATCTGATTATCAGTTTTAAAAAGCAACTGATGTCATAGAGGTGGTGATGTAAGTAACCTGGGTTCCGTATTTTTTTTTGTTTTCTTTATGAAAAGCTTATCTACTAAAACTCATTAGCAGCAATAAGCTGGAAGCTGATTAAGCCATAAGATGATGGGGGATTAATCAGGTTATATGTATGAAATTCTCATAATGTGTCTCCAGAAATAATTACCATTTAAAACTTTTGATAGAGTTCTTATCAGCTTTTTTGTTAACTAATTATATTGTAGTTTTAGGCTAGATTGAAGAACCAGATTGTTTTTGTCAAATGTCAATTGCTACCTGACATTTGAATTAACAATTCGGAGCCATTTTCACATTACTCAGACTGACACTGACTGTGTATTTCATAAAGTCGAAACCAAATTCAACAAGACATTGTAAAAGTTCTGAGAAGTAGTCCTTTGTACCTTGTGCTTGTTTGAGTGCTACTGCTGATTGCTGTTTTTCAGTTTTGTTTCATTGAAATAAAATGGTCTAGTTGGCACATGCAGATATTTCTAAAATAATGTTTTCATTTCTCATCTTTGACATTGTTAAAAACAGGCTTCCCAAGTGTATGATTCTCATTATTCATACAATGTATCAGTCCACCAAAAGTAAATATACTTTTACCTCTTCTAAAGTTTTGGAGTGTGTTAATATATGCGTATACAACAAATAGAGATAGAGATAGAGATAGATAGAGATAGATATAGATATAAATGTGTATATATATAGGTGTGTATTTACAGTGTTAGAGTATAAAATGGTAAGCTGAAAATTAACTAAATTTGAATATTTACTCCAGAAAATAAAGGTAATTGGCTGGGATTTTACTTCAAATTTAAGTTCTTTTATTTTGAAATTGTATTGATTTTAATCCTGACATTGCTCTGAAATTAGTTTCTGTTATTAAATTTTACTAGTTTACCTCCTTTAATGAGCTGGGCCTTCTATTCCTTTTCCTTAGAGTGACAGTGGCATGAGTGGATGAGGGTTCCCAGATTCTAGATGTGGATTGCACAGGTCTAATGATCCCTTCTGTCTCACACCCTGCTTAGGTGAATCTGTCTCTGTCATCAAGCACACTGACCCTGTGCCTGACCCACGGGCTGTCAACCAAGACAAGAAGAACATGCTCTTTTCTGTAAGTACTTTATCAAATGTTTTTTTTTATTTGGAGACATTCTCAGAGTTTCAGTTCTGCAAATGGTTTGTTTGGTTTTTTTTTCACTGCTTACCTTCAATGGTGAGACTTTAGAAAGTGTTAGCTATTACTCCGCAGGACAGTCATACTCTTTGTAGTCAGTCTCAGCTGTCAGAAATCATCAGGAACATATAATGGTGGAATATGTGACCTAGATGCCTTTTGTTTTACTTGACAAGTTTTCAAGGATTAAAATGAAAAGATCAGATCAAACATCTTCGAACTCTTTATCTGTAAACATAGTAGAAAAGTAGATTTATTTGGAAAAGACTTAGCCTATAAAGGATGTTTTCAAAATGATGTAGATGATACCTGTGTAGGTTCACAATAAGGTATGTGTTTAAAGAGAAATCAGATGTGGCAAACCATTAATATAATTGGTGAGTCTGGGTGAAATCAAATGGATGTTCATTATACTACTTCAATTTTTCTGTTAATTTTTTTTTGAAATAAAAAGTTGGAAAGCTTATAGACTTTGTTCGTTCAGTGTATGTGCTGCTGAAGCGAGCACGACTTTGCTTGTTCAGAAATTTAAAATGATATTTTAAGTGGTGGGCTTTTGTGGGTTGGTATGGGAGCCTAACCACCCATAGTAAGTAAAGTACAATAGAGTTACAATGAAAATAACAGAGCCATATCATTCCAACACTAGAAATTAATGTGGGGTGGGGAGAGAACTCTCATACCTGAATTCATTGGTTTCAGAATGCCAATGCTTGAGTAGAGGTCCTCAAGGTAGCCCATGGTGCTGCTGGTTGCCCTTATTACAGTTGATAAAAGTAGAGGAGGTTGGGTTAGAGCCAGAGGTGGAGAATGCTTAGGGTTAAGGTCTATATGGAGTTTGAAAAAATTGAGAACACAGCAGGATTAGAGCACTGTTCCAGCCCAAAGGTAGTCTGCAAGCCAGGCTCAGTGTTACGAATGGAGATCCCAGGTGGGTCAGTGTAGAATTGCTCTGGGGAGAGTCGGTACCACGTGGAATGAGAATCAAGGAGGTACCACACTGCCTGCATGAGCTCTTACTCACTATCAGAGTTGGGTGACTGGCTCTCTAGTGCAGATCCACACGAGTCCAAGTTTACTAGTCAGTATTTGAGTTGGGTATGGTATTAATCTTCTAACCAGTTCTCTGTTTCTGTCCTAGGGTACAAACATTGCTGCTGGCAAAGCCATGGGAGTGGTGGTGGCAACTGGAGTTAACACTGAAATTGGCAAGATCCGGGATGAAATGGTGGCGACGGAACAGGAGAGAACCCCACTCCAGCAGAAACTGGATGAGTTTGGGGAACAGCTTTCCAAAGTCATCTCCCTTATCTGCATTGCAGTCTGGATCATAAACATTGGGCACTTCAATGACCCAGTTCATGGAGGCTCCTGGATCAGAGGTGCTATTTACTACTTTAAAATTGCAGTGGCCCTGGCTGTAGCAGCCATTCCCGAAGGTCTGCCTGCTGTCATCACCACCTGCCTGGCTCTTGGAACTCGCAGAATGGCAAAGAAAAATGCCATTGTCCGAAGCCTCCCTTCTGTGGAAACCCTTGGTTGTACTTCTGTTATCTGCTCAGACAAGACTGGTACACTTACAACAAACCAGATGTCAGTCTGCAGGGTAAGTGGGAGTGATTTAAGAATCTTTCCTCTTGATCGTTTATTCATCCTAAGAATATGTCTTCATGCCATCAAAAGCTTCGATTTATAATTCGACACCTTTATATGTGCCTTAAACAGATTGGGTTGCATATGTAGCCTGAGCCCAAGATAATTTCTGATACTTCAGAGGAATTAATCATTTAAATCCTAAAACTATTTCATGAAATAAAAAGATATCTATATCACTGATAAACTTGTATTGGGGAAGTAACTGTGGGATGTCTGTAAATGTTAGGTGACTATGCCCCTTTAGTTCCCTGCTCTTGTCTTCTAAGTGTCTGTATGTTAACAGACAAGCTCAAAGGAGGAGAGTTCTGTAAAGCAGCTATTTACATACCTACTTACCCAAAATTCTGATTGATGTTTCCATAACACATTGAGACAGGCTTTCTTCTTGAAAAGTAAATAATTGCCTTTAACTTTGTTCTGTGTGTTCATCTTTTCCTTTCTTAGATTGTTTTGACAATCACTTGGTAAAATACACTGTTCAAACCTGCCCTTAGAAAAATAAGAACTAAAGAAATATAATAATATAAAGAAATACATTAAGTTCTTTTATATAATTCAATTCCCCTAAGTTTTATTTAAACAATTTTCTAGAAGTCAAAGTATAATTTTCCAAAAAGGTATACCATTCATAGAAATATTTAGTTGACACATGTTAGAGATCTGTTTGGCTCATTAGTTAATGAGGGAATCATTAAGATGGTCAAACTGATTACAAGAGCATTTCCTCAAATGCTCAAGATTAGAATAGAACTGCTGTATGTTATAAAAACTGGTTAATATCCTATAGGGCAGTAAAATTTCTAGGTTATCTTTCCTATAGGCCACAAACCCACAACTTCACATAACATGAGCCCTTAATAATAAATATAATAGTTTTTTTCCTAGAACACTAAGTCTTTGGGCCTGTTACTGCTTCTGAAGGACATGTGGTCATCCTCTTGGTCTTATCTCTGGTTTTGAATAATGTTTTTTAGCATTGGAAATTGGTTTTGTCTTAATACAGTTAAACCCTTTGAATCTTTATCCTGCCAAATTTAAATTCTTGATGATTTTTATATACACATACACTCAACTCTTCTTGTAGTCCTAACCCAGACTTAGAATGCATGGACAGGTGTTTAAAACAGGTTGGGGTGTTCTGTCTCTCATGTTGGTAAGCTTCTGGTTTGTCTTGGGTTCCTTTAGTAGATTCAGAGTTTAACTGAGCTACCTACATTCTCATTGTTTGGAACCAGTAAAGGTTGTACGAATCTGCTAAAAGCTAGGTGTAGGCTAAAAGCTAATTATTTGGGGGAGAGAAAGGGAATTTCATGTTACCTGTTCAGTTTTCCCTAGGAAATTATTTAAACTTAGCCCAAAAGCTTTCATTCCTTGGAATAAACCTTTATATCCATGAAAGTAAGCAATGTGTGAAATTGTAACCTTTAAAATTTTTTTTAATTTCAAAGTCTTAGTAGCAAATCAGATTTCAAACTCAATAGAGTCCATAATAAAATGTTTTGTTCTTATATTTTCCCTTAAATGGTTTTATTTAAAATGTTTTCTTCTATTAAAGAAACAACTTGCCTCTTCTGTTCTTGGTGACAGAAAGCTGATGCTAATCAGTATTCTATAGGAGGTTTCTTGCAGGGGATTGCATAACTGCCCTTGACTTAAGGATGCTTTCATCATGCAGTTCCTAAATGGTTTACTGGCTCCCAATCCCAAGTGCCAAAGTGCATTCAGATTTACTTAATGTGGATTAAAATTCTGAATGTCTTAGAATATTTTGGACTCTGGCATAGACCCAGAGAGTTTCACTTTTTGTAAACAATATCATTAAAGAAAAGGCATGGTGTGTAGTAACAATCCTGGAAACTTGCTTTGATATTGCTTGTTGCAGTTAAATTTTCACATGTAACTTTATTCGAATCATGGATAATCCTGCTTATTAGGTTAGAAGGCTAAGGCTCTGAGCTGTGACATGTCTGAAGGTCACAGAACTTTTAATACAAAAATAAATTTGGATTTTCTTATAGGAAAGTTTAATAGTTAAACCTTGGTCTTCTCTTTTCTACTCTATAATTGTGTGACCTTGAGCATATCCTTTAACCTCTCTGGTCCTTTGTTTCCTCTTCTGTAAAATGTTAAAGCATCTTTGGAAAGAGCTTTTTGACAAGCTTCCTTTTTTAGGTGTTGTATCTGTTAGAAAAAAACTGTTGGAGTCAGTGATCTTGCTGCATGTGACCTTGGACATGAATCTTTTCCTCATTTGACACACTGATGTTTTAAATCCCTTTATGTATTTTGATTTTTTAAAGAAAAACCATTTCGTAGTTACTCATAGTCTTAGGTCAGTTCCACAGTTGATCTAAGTTCTGAGTATACTTTTGAAATGCAGCTTTGGAATTTAGAAGTATGTGCTGTATAACAAGCAAATCTTGTGAGGCTATTTTAAAATAAAGATAGCTGATTTTCTTTTATTGGATATGAGTTGGGATGCTCTGAAAAGATGTTTTAAATATTAACATGGTTCTCTTTTATTTGAGTTTAACATTTAAAAATTCCTTATTGAAGAACGGTTTGATCATATTCTTAATTGCTCATATTTCATAGAGATTTTGGCATGATATAAAGTATGGTTTGAAGTAGCGCTGTGTGTGTGTGTGTGTGTGTGTGTGTGTGTGTGTGTGTGTGTGAAGAGAAGGTCTTGACAGTTTCAATTTGCAATGAAAACCCAAATCTAAAATCTTAGTCTTCCAATCTGGGCTCCTGAATTATAATTGGAAAGCAAACCAAGAAAACCTCATCTTTAAGAAACTAGCTCACGTCACCTTATTCTATAAAATTAAGAATTCTTCCTTAAGCATGCTTCATCGGTATTGTCTTGGTAATATCAGATTCAGCTCTGCAGGATCCTTAACTGTACACATGTAGTTGTGCCACTTCATAGAAAATGAGCTATTGCCACAATAAAAATAAGTGGGAAGGAGCAGAGAAGCAATTTATCTTTACTCAGGGAATGTTGATGCAACTCTGAAATGTGAGTTTATTCTTCACAGACTCTTGGCTCCAAAGGCAGGACTGCCTAATAACCACCTTCTCAGCCAGCCATTTGAAATTTGGAATTTGGAGCATTCTAGAGTACTGCTGACCCATAGTCCACATACTCGGGTTTCATGTGGGTTGTCGTCTGTGTCTTTGGTACCACTGCTGCTTACTGTTTATTCAGCACCCCAGTGGTGTCGGTCCTCAGATTGTTAGGTGGATGGAGGAGGCAGTCTCGAATAGCCTCTCGTTGGAATAAAGGGCAATACTTCTCATGCTGAGCTTCAATTAATAAGTTTCATTAAAATTGTTTTCTTAAATAAGGAAGACTTTTTGTCTTAGCAGAGGTTGTTTTTCTAGTATACTTTTATACCTTTGAAACACTTACACTTTTCTTTCCCCATAGATGTTCATTTTGGACAAAGTTGAAGGTGACACTTGTTCCCTTAATGAATTTACTATAACTGGATCAACGTATGCACCTGTTGGAGAAGTGTGAGTGAACTCTTTCTATCATTTAAAGGATCATTGTGACAGTTTGGTACTTGTATAGATTTTCAGTGTGCCTAAAAAAGTTAAAACAGCTTTCTGAATGTGGCTCATGGCATAAGTTACTACAGTAGTAGCTTCCTATTTGAAGCCTAAATTTTTAAGTGGGGTTTCTGTTTGTTCTTTATTGATAGCAGTGGTGGAGGAATTTCATGAACTAAGAATTTCTGGTCTTTACCAATTGATTCCTAATGTCAGAGACACATCCAACAGCAGATTTCTAAGATCCATCACTCAAATTCTTTTGCCAGTTTGTTGTTCACAGAATTCTATTTATATTATTAAATAAATAAATAATCAGTAGAGATGACCACACTGTGCTCTTAAGAGTGTTTTTTGTTTGACAGGCATAAAGATGATAAACCAGTGAAATGTCATCAGTACGATGGTCTTGTAGAATTGGCAACGATTTGTGCTCTTTGTAATGACTCTGCTTTGGATTACAATGAGGTAAGGCTCCTTATAAATGAGAAACTAGACCTGACTGTTCCTAGTTTGAGGGTGAGGTGGGTGAATGAAAATCTAGCCTGCCTTCCTCCTTTTTGAAAGTAAAGTTTCCTGATTTTATTTCCCCTTTCCATTCAAGAGCCTATCTCTGAGTCAGCAGGACCTAGCAAAAGAATGCC